CGACATTACAGACTTGACTTGAATACACTACCGTGCTCAGACTACACGGGCCTCATGTATAAAACTTTCCATAGATTTCATTCAAAAGCTAGATTTTCCATATGCAGAAAATTTGTTATATATATAAAACAATAATGCTGTGTGCTTTCCCCTCAATAACAAAAAAAACCAAAAACAGCTTCATTTTTCTTATGAAGCATGAGAAAAGCATCTGATCATAGCAATGTGGATATGTTTGCACAAGCTCTGCAATTCAGCACTCTGGTAGTCACGTTTATAATCAAGCGGCTTTACCGCATTAAACATGAAAAACACAGTTTCAGTGTCTCATTTCATCAGAAATATAAATTCATCTATAAAGAAGCTGACCTCGACGGATTGAACAAGAGAAATTAACCAGAAAAGATTTCCACGTGACAAGCAGGCATTAATAGTTCAGTTACCCCAGCTTACCTGATGATAAAGACTCAGGAACTCTTCCACGTGCCCCTCCAACGATCGCCCATTCTGGGAAATGAAGAGGAGTTTGTCGGTTCGTGTAGTGGCAGGAATCAGGAGGAATTACCAGGAATCACCAGGAATCTTTAATGAACAAACTCTAGAACCGCAAAAACACGTAGTACAACGACGAGAACCGACCAAGAGTAAGCCAAACACATGGTTTCAATACACAGAGAACAGACTAGGGGAAGGCGCAGCTGGGGCAAAATAACTAAACACAGGTGAATGAACGGGAGCGGGAAAATTGAACAGGACTAAACCAAAACACTAAGAAAAAGGGGGAAACAAAGAGTCAAACTGTGACACCTTTGTGGTTCCTCCCACTCGCCACCAGAGGGCCCCATCTCCCAAATATTAACCTTACACATTTTCACCCCATTTCCTATAACCCCCATGTCTGATACTGATTATCCGCACACATGCCACACGTCACCCAGACTACTTATACAGGCCTTCACCACCACTTCATTGCAAAGTCTTGTCTCACCCTGGTTGACATTTCTGAGCATTTTCCTTGTTCATACTGATACCTCGTTTGCTGATCCTGGACTGTTCTACTCGTTTCAACTCTCTGCTTCATGCCATTGTGACCCTGCTTCGTTTGACTGGATTTATTCTTTACTGTTTGCTGCCTGCCCTGATTATCTGCCTGCCCCATCTACTATGATTGTGGACGGCCTCAGACACAGTATATTATTTTTCTGGTGATTGACCCCTGCCTGATTGTGTTACATTTACTATTACCAATAAAGACACTGCAAATAGTTCATTACAGAAGACTTCGTCAAACTCCAGAAGCTATCCTTCAACAACCTACAGAGGCCTACACCCAGGCTACTGTTCTGATTGCACATCAGCAACAACTAGAACATCTAACATCCCTAACTGAGCAACTGGTAACCTCGCTACATCCCCTCCATTTACCATCACAAAACCCCAACTCATCCGCAGCAAACCCAGTTGTTCACACACAACTTCTGCAGCGAACCCAACAATAAGCACGCCAACATCCCGTAACACCACCACGAGTCCTTGTCTTGAAATTTCCTGAGAAATTTGATGGGTCACCCGCCAAGTGTAAGGGGTTCCCTCTTCAGTGTTCCCTGTTTGTCAACCAACAACCCTTGTTATACCCAAATGACGCCAGTCGAATAGCCTTTGTATGTACATTATTAACTGGCCGTGCTCTAGAGTGGGCAACAGCAATGTGGAGCGGTGGTCAGTGAGTCTCCCTTTTCTTCATTCTCTGTCTTCCTACAACGATTCTGTGAAGTGTTTGATCATCCAGAAGAAGGTCACCCAACACGTTCATTCATCACTCAGTTCCGGCCATCCAGGTATCCACCCTTCAACTTTTGGTGGCATTCCATGCAGAGAGACACTATCTCCTTTGTCCAGAACTGTTCAACCTGCAATGTATCCAGACAACTATACCAGCCAGACTACTACAAGCATTACCCATTCCTCAACATCCCTGGTCTCACATCGCAATAGACTTTGTCACCAATCTCCCTAATTCCCAAGGCCACACCACCATACTCACAGTAATAGATCGCTTTTCCAAAGCTTGTCGACTCATTCCCTTACCCAAACTGCCCACGGCTCTTGAAACCGCTGTACAGCTATGCAATTATATGTTCCGTTTCTATGGCTTGTCAATGATGACATTGTTTCAGACCGAGGTCCCTAATGCACCTCATGCATGGTCAGCATTCTTCCGTCAACTTAACATTAATGTCTGGTTATCACCCACAATCTAACGGTCAAACAGAATGCCTCAATCAAGAACTCACATGATTTCTAAGATCCTACTGTCACCAGAATCGAGCAGACTAGAGTCGCTACCTACTCTAGAGTATGCACAGAATTCCCTCCGCAAATCTTCTACTGGCATGACTCCCTTTCAATGTGTCCTCGGCTTTCATCTATCATCAACCATCTATTCGGTCCATCTACAACGAGCTATTAGAAGACAAAAGGACCAAGCTGATCACCGCCATCGTCCCAATCCTACATACCTTCCTTGTCAATGGGTCTGGCTCTCTCCAAGAGACCTTCGTCTTCGGTTGCTGTGCAGAAAACTCAGTCCCAGGTGCGTGGGTCCTTTCAAAATAGTTAGGCAAATTACTCCTGTTTCATATCGATTGGCTTTACCCTCTATTTACCATATCTCACCCACTTCTCATATTTCCTTGCTCAAGCCCGCTGGTGGTCTGAGAGGGGAGAAAAAAGAGGAAGTCATTGACCAGGGACCCCCTACCATTATCATAGACAGCGAGAAGGCTTATCAGGTGCAGGAACTCCTGGATTCCAGACGCCGGGGAGGAGTTCTCCAGTACCTTGTGGACTGGGAAGGGTATGTCCTGGACTGGAGGAAAGGTCCTGGGTCAGTTCCGAGGACATTCTCGACCCATCTCTTACTGCAGAGTTTCATAGGACCCATCCAGGAAAATCAGTCCCTCGAGCTCAAGAAAGACCCCGGCGTTGACCACCTCCTTGCGTAAGGAGCCGCTCACAGGGAGAGGGCTCTGTTTCGAATTAAGCCTTTGTGGTTCCTCCCACTCGCCGCCCGAGGGCCCCATCTCCCGAATATTAACATTACACATTTTCACTCCATTTCCTATAACCCCATGCCTGATACTGATTTTCCAACCCGGTCTCATCCCAAGACGTCATATAACTGACGTTTTGGGACGTCTTTTGACCATACGTCAATATTCGCCTTTTTAGGGCCCCCTTAAACGTCGGTAGATGAGGTTATGGGATCCTAACTCTACCCCATACCTAAACCTAACCCTAAACCTAACCCGTCACCTAACTGACGTTAAAGGTAAAGTGTCAGTTGTATGACGGCCCGGGATCGCCATCTACCGACGTTTAAGGGGGCCCAAAAAAGGCGGATATTGACGTATGGTCAAAATACGTCCCAAAACGTCAGTTATATGACTTTTTGGGATGAGACTGTGTTAGATTTTCCGCACACCAGCCAATCATCACCCAGACTGGTTATCTGCACACCTGCAAATGGATCTCAATGACAATGCAATAGGACTCCATTTAGACATTCTGGTGACATTCAGATGCATTTAACGCGTAAATATGATCTTACCATCATGACGTGATTGCAACATTCCACATGGCTACAGTTTTTCCCCTATTGTGCACAGATTATAAATACCACAATAGTCCATAAAAATTGTCCATTTTGATTTCATGGTGACTTCAAATTAAAATATTTTTTTCAGAACTTCACAAAACTTAATATTAATTCAAATATTATTGTTAAAACATACCCAAAATGCAAATCAGTATTCATTGCGTAATCCATGCATTGTACAGTTTGTGCGCTGAGCCTGTTAAAGAAATTAACCTTCTTTAAAATGTCATATTTTTTAGGTATGTAAGTGTTTTGAGAACTAGGAGTGTGGAGGGGTAAGTATCCATTTATTGAATAATTATGACAAGAAAAATACGAGTGGCACATGAAAGTGTAAATTTCAAATGGTTTTCTCATAAGTTTATATAACTTGCAAAAATCCACCTTACCTGTCATTTCATTAATCACCAGTGTGTTCCATTAGGGTTTGGTGACAGACTTCCTGTAGTTCAGCTGAGCCTCATAGTCACATTTATTTTTAAATCTTCATGTTTCTCCTCTTCCCTAGGAGTGTCCACACTTTGTTCCATTTGACCATAAGTATACTTCAAATAGTCCAGTCATTTTGTGAAAAAAGGTTGAACAAATTGCAACAGAACCAAACTCAACTGATGTTGTATCCTCAATATGTCCTGAATAAGAAAATAAAAGCCCAGGAGAATCCCATTAGGGGAAAGGTTCGAAAAAGACCCAAATATAGCCTATTCATTCTTTTTCTCAGGGTAATAATCTTAACCTTTAGATATCACCATGAAAATTACTGAGTTGATTTCTTACATCAAGACAAAGAAAAAATGTAGTTGAGTTGTTGCAATTTGTTCTAGGTTGACCCCCATTTTGGCTTAAAATGATTGGACTTAAAGTGGACTTCACACTCAGGATACTCTGCAATCTTAAGCAAGATTCCAATCCGAAGGAAGCGAACACGTTGATCTTGAAGCGGACTACAAACGGCACAGAAAATACGTGTACATCAATACATCACTTCACATGACGTGGAGGGGGACATTTACACACCGATCAGTAGGCATCGCTATCACAAACAAGTTTGAATTAAATAAATGCGACGAAAAGGTGTTGGCGCACGTTCCGACTGGTCCGTATGCGCTTGTTCGCGGGTAGAAAAGTGCGCAGAATTGTGATTGTTCGGAGGTAGAAAAGTGCGCGAAATTCGACAGAACACGGCGCAAATGGAACTGTCATGATTACAGGTTATTTTCATTATAAACACCCAAACACGAGAAATTATTTCAGTTAAACCATATTCTATAAATTATTGTGTTATAGGTAGTGTATAAGTGGTGGCCATTTACAGTAGGCTAGTATGCCATCACACCGCAACTCAGGTTTTGACTTTGTGATGATGTTGTGGACTAAGTATATAACAGACATTTAAACTATATTTAAAACATAACCCAGTGCGTTATTGCTAATAATATTTTTGAAATTCATGCCTAATATTGAATAATGAAATCACTTCAGCAGTACTTCATTAAAGAGGCAGAACTCTTTAATGAAATAAATAGAAAAACTTGCACACAAAAACACTGCATTAGATGAAAAGAAAAAAACAGCCTCAACTACTTTACCAAACAATTGTGGGTAGAAAACAGTCTAAAAGGTAAAAAATTGTACATCACCAATGTTGGTGTTCAACATACAAAAATACTATATGGAAAATAAAAAAACGTATATATTACAATCAAAATGAATGTTAAACAAATATTTTACAATTATATTAAATACTATAAATCCTGTATGACATGCTGTTTGTTAAACTGTATTCTTAATCCAATTGTTAGATTTCACTTTCAATAATTCTGACGCCAAGAAAATACCCATAATTCATCATTCACATGCAAGGGTTATATTTTCTTACACAGATGTTATGCTCCATGGTACACAGAGACAAAATGGTCGCTATTTTCTTTCCCCCCAATGTCTTGCGTCTGTCTCTAATCTTTAATGACTACACACACTTTCCACAGCTGCATTCGACTGTCTTTTCCACATCCTGTGAGAAGGAACTGCCATCGTCGCACTGGAAGCTGTAGCGTCTGCGTCGTAGCCTGGACCCGCCACAGCAGAAGCCCGTCTCCGGCCCGCACCCGCCGCTACACTCCACCCAGGACATCGGCTGCGTGCTCCGGCACTGGACGTCGCCGCGCCAAACCCGGTGGAAGTCCCGCACGAACTCGCCTTGGCAAGGAGCCACTGGAAGCAAAGGGCATATTCAGTTAATGTCATTAATGAATGATAATGGTTTGTTTTGTAAATGAGCGCATAATTTACCAATGTCACACAACTGGCCACTGTAACCGCTGTCGCAAACGCACTGCGCCTGCCCCGTCTCTGACACCTCGCAGGAGCCGTGTTGGCATGAGAGCGCGGCACACACGTGCTGTTGACTGCACAGCGGGCCGAGGAAACCGTCCACACACTCACAGCGATAAGACTGCAGGTCCACCGGAACACAGGTGCCGTGAACACACCTAACAGGAGGGAGAGAAATGAGTTAGCATTGTTACACACTGCATACGGGGGAAAGTGGTACCACTGCGATTCATGTCATATTAAAGGGATACTTCACCCCAAAATGAAAATTCTGTCAGTAATGACTCGCCCTCATGTTGTTCCAACCCCGTAAGACTTTCGTTCATCTTCGGAACACGAATTAAGATATTTTTGATTAAATCTGAGAGCTGGATCACTCCTCCATAGGCTTCTAAAGGATCGAAACTGGTTCAGGAGAAAAAAAATCTCCAAATGCTCCATGTGACACTGCGGTCTTCAGACCTTTCACTATCGTGTCAATTGATTTTGATTAATATGTGCAAGGGAGAGAGAGCAAAACAGCCCTTGTGTTGTTTGTGGCACTCTTTCTGCTCGTTATGCACCCTGTGAAGCAGAGCAGTCATTCTATTCTACGTCACTCACCAATCAAAAAGCTATTTTGCGGGACAAAAATTTGAGGAAGGTGGACCGTGGGCCGGGTTCAGGCAGATAACTCCACGGCCACGGGCCGGGTTGTAATTTTCAGGCCAGTTGAGAACTCTACCACAGGGTGCCCTGTCCTTGAGAAAGGAGGTCCTTCCTCAGAGGAATTGGCCGAGGAGGAGCTGTCGCGAGGAGTACAAGTTCAGAGGACCAGGTACGGGTGGGCCAGTGTGGCGCAACCAGAATAACCTGGTTCTGGGGTGTGAGAAGGCTCACTGGGGGAAACGCATATTTGCGCAGGCCCCGCGGCCAGCTGTGCGTCAGCGCATCCGTGCCGAACCTTCAGTTAGGGAGTAAAACAGGTCGCAGTGGGACGAGTCATGGGAGGCATACAGATCTATCTGTGTGTCCCCGAACTGATCCCAAATCAGCTGAAACGACTGGGGATGGAGTCGCCATTCTCCAGGAAGAGGCTGAAGCCATGAGAGCTTGTTGGCTGCACAGTTCAGGTCTCCCGGAACACTCCCGGAGGAGGTGGCGGGCGAGTTGCGACAAACGGCAAGAGTGTAGACCACCTTGTCAGTTGATGTACGCTGCTGTTGCTGTATTTTCTGATCGGACTAGTACATGCCAGTTCTTGAGCAGCACATGGAAGTGGTGCAGAGCGAGACGTACTGCCAGGAACTCCAGGCAACTGACATGCCATAGGTGCTGGGGTCCTGTCCAGAAGCCTCCGGCAGCATGTCCCTTGCACATGTCGCCCCAGCCCATAGTGGAGGCATCTGTTGAGACAACAACATGCCTGGAAACCCGTTCTAAGGGCACTACAGCCCATACAAAACTGAGGTTCGACCACGGGGTGAAAGTCTAATGGCAGGTCAGAGTAACTGGTACTCAGAGCTCACTGTGTTGCCATGCCCACTTCGGGACTCAGTCGCGAAGCGGTCTCATATGAAGAAATCCGAGCGCCGTTGCCGTGGCTGCCATATGCCCCAGAAGCCTCTGAAATAACTTCAGTGGAACCGCATTCTTGTGCTTGATTGCCAAGCAAGTCAGCAGTGGCTGAGTGGAGAAGGCGACTGAGAAAAGAGATCTTTTGCATGGGGCCAAGAGTTGACCCGAAAGCCCAGATGAGCTAGGTGCCGGAGCAAAATTACCCATTTCTGACACGGAGAGGTAGTGACGAAAAATAAAAATACAGGTCTCTTTAAGGTTCTGTAATTGGAATGAGTGTACCCTAAACTCATGGGCGAGGCCCATTGGAGGGCAAGTCTGGAGCCAGCAGCCAAAGTAATTCAGCAGTTGCAGCAGTAATTCAAGTTACAGCAGTTAAAAATCTCGTAGTCGGATCTCGGGAGCGGGCCGGCGGTCCACCGCGAGGCGAGCTACTGTACTCCCAGACCCTTGCCTCACCGGCGCCCCCCGGAAGCCCTTAACTGGAAGCCCTTAACTGACTCCGGTTCTATTTTGTGGGATTCTGGATCCCGGGGCCATGATTGAGAGGGACGGCCAGGGCATTCATATTGCGCTGCTAGAGGTGAATTTCTTGGACCGGCCCAAGACGGACGAGAGCAAAAGCATTTGCCAAGAATGTTTTCATTCGTTTATCAAGAACGAAAGTTGGAGGTTCGAAGACGATCAGATACAATCGTAGTTCCGACCATAAACGATGCTGACCCGCGATCTGGCGGCATTATTCCCATGACCCGCCGGGCAGCGTGCGGGAAACCATGAGGCATTGGGTTCCTGGGGGAGTATGGTTGCAAAGCTGAAACTTAAAAGAATTGACAGAAGGGCACCACCAGGAGTGGAGCCAGCGGCTTAATTTGACTCAACACGGGAAAGCTCACCCGGCCCGGACACGGAAAGGATTGACAGATTGATTCTCTTTTTCAATTCTGTGGGTGGTGGTGCTTAGTTGGTGGAGCGATGTATTCCGATAATGAACGATACTAGTAACGCAGCCCTGAGCGGTCGGCGTCCAACTTCTTAGAGGGACAAGTGCCATTCACCCACATGAGATGGAGCAATAACAGGTCTGTGATGCCCTTAGATGTCCGGGGCTGCAAGCGCGCCACAATGGGCGGATCAGTGTGTGCCTACCCTGCACCGAGAGGCGCGTATAACCCGCTGAACCCCGCTCGTGATCAGGACTGGCAATTGAAACTGTTTCCCATCAACGAGGAATTCCCAGTAAGCACAGGTCATAAGCTTGCGTTGATTAAGTCCCTGCCCTTTGTACACAGTACACCGCCCGTCACTACTACCGATTGAGTGGTTTAGTGAGGTCCTTAGATCGGTCCCGCCGGAGCTCCTTGCTGGGTTCTGGCGGAGCGTCGAGAAGACGCTCAAACTTGACCATCTAGAGGTAGTCAATAACGGTGGTTCGTGGACAAAACCCCATTCTAATAAGCTGCCATTGGTCGCATAATGCCCTGGAGGGTTTGTGGGATGATCTGGGATTCCCACTCTCCTATAGACCATTTTGCAAGATGTAAACAACACAGAAGCACTTTCTGTTTCAGTTTTTTAACACTACATAAAAGCTGGGATAAAATACAACCAACAGAACATGTAAAACTGAATTAAAAAGTTAAACAACATCTTTAAGATGTTTTCTTTACATGTGAAATAAAGAAAACAGTTACAAACTGAAACAGGAAGTGCTTCTGGACCAGTGTTGTTTACATCTAGCAAAATGGTCTATATACTTGTTGGAGAGTGGGCCTTTTACAAATACCCCCGAATTCACGGATCGTTACTTAATTGTCACAGGATCGGGGTTATTCAGACATTATTTTGTATACATAAATACATACACATGCATGTATATATTTAAAATTTGTTTTATTTTTATATAAAATATTTGTATATAATATAATTTATGTATAAATATATATACAGTATCTACATGCAAATATTTCTTAAATATATACATACGTGTGTGTGTGTATTTATATATACACAATAATTATACACAGTACACACACATTTAATATGTAAACACAAACTTTTATTTTGAATGCGATTAATCGTGATTAATCATCGGCAAGCACTAATTATATTATATTATATATTTAAAGAATATATTTTATATTAGAGTTTTACATTAAAAAACCTTGACCACTAATTGGCAATGATTGTATAACATGATTTCCTAAGTTTGATGTGAAACAGGCACTGAAGGTGCACGAGTACTGACTTGTTCTTCTGGCAGGGGTTGGTGGCAGCCGCCAACAGGACCCGGTCGCACTGTGGGCCGCCCCATCCCGGCTGACAGTGGCACACGGGCCCAACGCCAGAGTCTGGCTCACACACGCCGTTCCCACAGTGCAGATCCTGACAGGCCGCGCACCCTGGCACCACTCCGGGCTTCATCTGCGTGTGTGTGAAGTCCTGCAGCTCATTGTTAATGTACAGGTTACGAATGCAGCCTTGAAAACTGGATCCGTTGAGAGGCGGCCACTGGTTAAAAGACAGCGACTGCGCATTTTCAGGCATACCTGAGGCGAAAAAACACGCATTTAGAGATAGGACCAGCATGCATGGGTATGGGTGAAGATCTTACCCCCAACGTATAGTGGTGCATCTCTGGTGAGGGGTTGGACGTGTCCAAAGCTGTCCAGAGTAGTAGGAAGCCCTCCGTCAACTGAAAGATTGACCATCCGGTCATAAGTGACCAATTCAACGGTATGAAACTGTCCGTCATTCACTATTTCAGAGCTGTGGAAACAGGCAAATGAGGCAGTGAGTTACAACAGAGATGTTTTTATATTAAAACACAAGCTTGGTATTTATTGCACCTGTAAATGGTGCTGCCAGACTGACTTCCCGCATCATAGGTTACTTTGACATGTCCCTCGTGTAACTGTACAGCGATGTGGTCATTGACGCCGTTGTAGAGAAGAATGCCGTTGTCCTCCGCTGTGGACACCTGACAGAGAGTCATTTTTTAAATATATATACTAAGTGCACTTCCATTTAAAAGCTTACAGTTTAATATTTTTAAAAATATGTTTTTAACAGGCCGCGTTTATTTGAAATGCAGTTAAACTGTAATAATGTGAAATATTATTATAATTAAAAGCTGAATTTTCAGTATCATTACTCAAGTCTCCAGTGTCACACGATCCTTCAGAAATCACTCTAATGTTCTGATGCTCAAGAAACAGTTCTGATTATTAGCAAATTTTTGTGAAAATAAAAAAAATTGCAGGATTCTCTGATTACTATAAAATTGAAAAGACCATTGTTAATTTGAAATAGAAATCTTTTGTAACATTATAAATGTCTTATATAATATAATGTATGTCTTTATTGTCACTTTTGATCAATTTAATGCATCTTTGATGAATAAAAATAGAAATGTATTTTTTTTTTTAAATCCAATTGACCCCAAACTTTTGAATGGTAGTGTATGTTTATAAATGCATACACACACATTATTGATACACATGCAACATGGAGTTCTAGAAAAACGTTCTAGATCACCTGAGATACAGTCAATTTATTATTTATTTACTTGCATATATTTGCAATATTTATTTTTGTGTGTATATATATTTATTAAATATGTATTTGTTTGCATCTATTTGCTAAATTTAATTCTCAAAATGAATATCCATTTTTTTATACTGCACATAATGTTGTGATTTATTTCTTTACATATATATTATTAAATATTCATTTACATATTTATTTGTTTGCATATTTTTGCGATATTTATTTATTTACGTATATTAAATATTTCGTTATTTGCAATATTGTTCATTTATTTATTTATAGACGTGTCATGTCATTTACACAGTATCTCAACTGCTGGGAAGGGAACACACGACACGAGAATTGTTAATTCATGCACAGCAAACAGAACAGATGCTGTCGTCATGACAACAGCAAAGTTTAAGATGCAGGGCAAGAGAGGTGGTCTGAGATATTCATTTAGTCATTAATTCCTGCCACAAGAATAGCACATTCGTTTATTTTCACAATGATGGAATGATCTGTGATATATAATGGCGGTTAGCTGTACCTGTAGAGTGATGTTGGTCTGAGGCCAGTTTTTGACGTCGCTGAGCAGCAGGTATGAATCTCTGTCGATGAAGTTAACGCTGAGGAGCTTCTCACAGCGCGGGCCCCCGAACCCAGAGAGACACTGACACACTGCAGTACCGTCACTCTCCACACAGGGGGCGCCGTTCTCACAGAGCAACAGCTCACAGCCGGAGGGGGGAGACGTCTCGCATAACCGACCACTGCAACCAAACACTCAGCGTTCACTTTGTTCATACTGGTTTCATACAGTTTTGAAAACTTTTAAACCATTTTGAGACAAGGTTTCATTTAAATACTCTAAAAACGTCATATGGTTTAACCGTCAAGTAAAAAGTAATAACACATTTACTGAATACACATATTAAAATGTAATCATTTATGTAGGAAATGTTTTTGTATATATTTTTTAATGTAATGGACCAAATGCATGGGTTTATATATATATATATATATATATATATAAATATATACAAAGTAGAAATAATATTAGAAGATTATAACGGTTTTCTTCAAGAATTGTGTTTTATGTTATCAGGACAGTTGCACCACTCTGACGTTTTTTGCTCCCCAAAAACTATTTTTATCTTAAAATATTTGAACATTTTAATATTATATATTTTGTATTAGTCTTTCATATGAAGTAACCAGGGCAATTAAATGAACCTTGTTATAAGATAATTTCCATCATTATCCAGTATATCAGGTGTTGACTCACCTGTAACCTTGTGGACAGACGCATGTGTATCCAGCTACATGATCCACACACCGCGCCCCGTTCTGGCAGTAATGCCCCTCGCATTCGTTAAAATCTATACTGCAGTCATCACCCACAAAACCAGGCGGACAGATGCATCTAAACACACAAACACACACCGTTTCATTAAAAAAGTAATTTATTTCATTATTTGAATGACCTTAAAATTATGCTTTTCAGCTGAAAGAACTATTCACACCAAAAGCAAATATTTGCTAAACAGGATTACACATTCCTATGGAGCTATTCAAATGGGGGAGGAAAATGAAAATTAATTGGGTGAAAGAAATTTTTTTTCATATCATAAAAGGATTTTTTTTTTCATCAAACTAATTTTCCCACTTTAAAAAGTTTTTTAGTATGCTCTCCTAAATACTTGATTATATGTTTATATTCATACACTACCTTTCAAAACGTGGGGTGAATAAAAAAAAAAACTAACATTCATCAAGGATGCATTAAATTGATCAAAACTGACAGTAAAGGCATTAATAATGTTACTAAATATTTCTATTTTAAATAAACACTGTTCCTTTAACCCTTAAATGCATACCTTGGGTCTTTAGTGACCCAGGACGTTATTCAATACCCTCCTCATCATTCATTTTTTTCAAGTTACACATCAACCTTCTTAGTATTCCACAATCAATTCATTATAAACAATAGAACAAGAAAAAATATATATAAACGAATTATAAAAAAGCAGTGCGCTCGCTCAGTTACGTTTTTCATGGAGGAGCCAAGACGGTGGGTCCTTGCCGTTCAGCGATGGCACCGAAATTGTAGCAATGGGAAGTAACATCTCCTTTCCCTCCTTCAGGGAATGTGGGTTACATTAGTGAGCCTAGACATTCCCAATCAGTCAGTCAGGTTAGACATAACGTCAGAACTGAACGAACAGAACGTGAACTAACGAATTGTGATCCATAACAAAATGTCACAATTGCTAAAATAAAGCTTCTTAATCCCCCCCACTCCTGTTGGGGCAGAGAAAGGACAGGCCTTTAACCCAGAGAAGGTATCAATCACTGCCATTCCTTCAGGGAGACCATTTGTAATACACTGGGAAAGCGTGCCAACTTCCAAATGGAAAGGGATGCTACATAGACCACACTCTGCCTGTATGGAGGTAACATGGGAATCACACATATGGCCTGACCATTAGAGCAGTGCTACACATGGATGGTCCCAGTGGTGGATCCAGCCTAGCTAGGGTGAAGTCAATACCGAGCAGAGACGGCAGGGAAAGACATGGAAAGGCAATCACCAATAGGGAAGCTGTACCGTCAACGTCTAGCACAAGGGCTGAACTTCTGGGCATACACACGAGTGTTAGACCTAGCATCAGCTGCCTCCCTCGTATCTGACTGCAGAGGGTGCTGGAGGAACCTGCGAGAGTTTGCTTTTTTCCAGTTGACCCGAAGCCCAAGAATGGCTGAGGCACCTTAGTCCTGTGTTTGCACACTTGCTCCCAAGAGGATGGTCTGGGAGATAGGGCAGTAGAGAAAACGATATTTGTCCGTCTTCCTCATATCTGCCAGGTTCAGTCAGAGATGGTATTCCTGGACCAGAAGAGTGGACATTGTCTGTCCAAGGGACAGCGCAGTGACTTTAGTCACACATAGGACGAGGTCCATCGCTGTGCTCAGTTCCTGCATCAACCCAGGGTCAGAACTGCCCTTGTGCAGCTCTTTGAGTGCCTTGGCCCCAAAGACTTACAGGAGGGCCATAGTATGCAAGGCAGAGGCAGCCTGTCGAGCAGCTCTGAAAGCCTTGCCCGTAAGCAGCGACATAAACTTACAAGCCTCGGAGAGGAGACGAGGATTACCCAGCCAGATGGCAGTGCTTTGTGGACACCGAGCGCGCCGCCACACCAGCACTCTCTGGAGAACTTCTTCCAGGTTTATAGATCACTCATATCAATGATTGCAGAGCAGAAACGACGAAACGCTTGGCTCCGAAGCGAAAGCTCAACTACGCTTCCCTTAAATACCCGCTTTGTGATGCAAATCTCTCTTGTCAGTGTCTATTGGCTCATTTTGTTAAACTCCAATGTGACTGGGTTCTCAGGCAAGATACCAATGTCTGACGTAACGTTGAACGTGACTGAGTGATTGGGAAGTAACATTTCACATTTTCACAGAAAGGACAGGGCTTTAATGCAGAGAAGGTATCAATCACTGCCATTCCTTCAGGGAGACCATTTGTAATACACTGGGAAAGCGTGCCAACTTCCAAATGGAAAGGGATGCTACATAGACCACACTCTGCCTGTATGGAGGTAACATGGGAATCACACATATGGCCTGACCATTAGAGCAGTGCTACACATGGATGGTCCCAGTGGTAGATCCAGCCTAGCTAGGGTGAAGTCAATACCGAGCAGAGACGGCAGGGAAAGACATGGAAAGGCAATCACCAATAGGGAAGCTGTACCGTCAACTAGTCTAGCACAAGGGCTGAACTTCTGGGCATACACACGAGTGTTAGACCTAACATTTGATGCCTCTAACGTATCTGACTGCAGAGGGTGCTGGAGGAACCTGCGAGAGTTTGCTCTTTTTCCAGTTGACCCGAAGCCCAAGAATGGCTGAGGCACCTTAGTCCTGTGTTCACACACTTGCTCCCAAGAGAACGGTCTGGGAGATAGGGGAGTAGAGAAAACAATATTTGTCCGTCTTCCTCATATCTGCCAGGTTCAGTCAGAGATGGTATTCCTGGACCAGAAGAGTGGATATCGTCTGTCTAAGGGACAGCGCAGTGACTTTTGTCGCACATAGGAAGAGGTCCATCGCTGTGCTCAGTTCCTGCATCAACCCAGGGTCAGAACTGCCCTTGTGCCCGAAGCGAAATCTCAAGTTTTCCTTAAATACCCGCTTTGTGATGCAAATCTCACTTGTCAGTGTCTATTGGCTCGTTTCGTTAAACTCCAATGTCACTGGGTTCTCAAGATACCAATGTCTGACGTAACGTTGAACATGACTGACTGATTGGGAAGTAGTCTCAGCCTCGGACGTCACGCCCACGGAACGTTGGCTAAACGTCTGATGCATATGGGACACTTAACTGGAAACACTTCAGGAATGTCGAAGTCGTCATCTGATTAGTTGTCAGTGTCGCGTTTATTTTCGGTCCACCGGGAAACAAAGCGCAGACGTGTGATTGCGGAAGAAAAACTGTTGTGTTTATATGAGTGACAATGAGCATTAATCAAGATCAGCTAAACGTAGTTGTATGTCCCCTCCTATCTATTATGGAAGATCAAGTGAAGTACTTAATTGCGAAGGGGATATCAGCCGCGTTTGTGGGCAAACATGAAACAACAGACGCTGACATCGCAGCTGGCCGATTCAGTATTCATATATAGGGCGCACCCTGGATTATAAGGCACATAAGATACTGCAGAGTCAAACGTTTGACTGGGTTTGCGTTATGCATCCACGAGATGTGCTAAACTAAAGGCTAAAGGGAATGTAGCGAGTGCGCGGCGCTGGAAGTGAGGCGTTTATTTAGTAGGCGTGAGCGCGCTGGGGTGGGGACGTAACTTACATTCGCAGCCTGACTCATGCGAGTATTCAATGTGCATATGAGCAGTGTTGGGAGTAATGCATTACAAAAGTAATACATTACAGTAACATATTACTTTTTGCTGTAACGCAGTAGTGTAAGGCATTACTAATCAATTTTCAGTAATATTTTACTCGTTACATGTTCAGTGAGGCTTGTATTACAATTGTATTACAGTGTATTGTCTGCTTTTACTTCTTAAAGGCAACAGACTATGTGAAAGTTTTAAAGCAGTCTTTTAGTGCCAGTTCAGAGCGGTCACGTCTGTAACATTGTTTTTTCCTCTAAAATAAAATGAATATTTTAAGTTCTATGGAGACTGGAGAGCCAACCCTTCCTCATCCGATTTGCGCAGTGTAATTACAGAATTACAAAAAAATCGATTTTACCTCCTATTTTTTTGTCACGCATGAATGTGTGTCTTTTCCCTAATATTAAAAATAAAACATAGACTGATATTTGTCTAATGTCTGGAGTCCTTTAAGGAAATAGCCTATATACGTTTCAATACATGAATTTTCGGAGAATTTTTATTTCAAGTTTTGACTGCAAATGTCATCATGTCCATAATGCTGGACTTCCCCAATTTTAAATAATTTATCCTCAACTAGTTTTGTGGTGTAGGTCTACGTATTTTATAATGTTAACTTCAAATAATACTAATAGCCTAATTTAAAGATAAGGCTGCATTGGATCTGGACGGTAAGGAGAATAACGCTGGAGTTGGAAGAGGTGTGTCGCGATTCTGTAGGTTCGTGGATGTGGCGAATCGCGATTTCGGTTTCATATTGCTTATCGTTACAGCCCAAAAGTTAAGTTCTACTTAGTTATTTTGGTGAAAGTAACTCAAAAGTAATACATGAGTAATGTAACGCATTACAATTCTGGGACAGTAATATTGTAAGGTAATGAATTACTTTTAAATAACAGTAACAAGTAATACCTAATGTATTACAGTTTGGAAGTAACTTGCACAACACTGCATATGAGTATTCTAACGTTACAGCTGGCTGTTTTGAATGAGACGAGTCGGTTACCGTGAACAGGGAGCACTTTATGAACATAACTGTGACGCACGAGCAGCGCCGGGGACAGTGTGTCTGTTAAGAGTAAGTGCTCGTGAGCGGGCACATAATTTACACACATAACCTGATTTATACGAGGTTGAACTGGCCGTGTGACAAAGCGGGCATAAGACGGACATGAGCGCGAGTTCGTGGGTGAATTTAATAACGCGGAGCGTTGTTAACGAGCGCCTCCGGTGACGACTGCTGACTGACTTGTTGCACGCCGGTCTGTTGTTGTGGGGACATTTCCACGCCCCGAAACGTGACGCTGAATGAAACGAACTGTAATTGGTTGGTTGACATGTCGGTCAAACGGCCTTATGGGCGGGCCTTGGCCAAAGAAAGTTGCTATGAATTCCAGACCTTCAGCCATCAGTCTGAAGGTTTGGCTATGCGAGACTAATTGGGAAGTAACATTTCACTCATAGTTACCGCAGGCAGAAAACAAAAGAAAAGTAGTATCATCAGCAAAACTTGAAATGGCGCAGCGATTTACCTCAGAGCAAGTCCTGAACACAGTAAAAAAATTGTCAATTGATGGTGAATCTGGTGAAGAAGCTGTCAGCAATCAAAATATTGATTTTGAAGATGCTAATAATGATAGTTTTGAGAGTATGTTTGAGATGGTGAATATGAGCCAGATGCTGAATGTATGGTAGGTGATGATGATGGTATAAACATCTGCCCAAACTGAACCCTTCCCAGCTCCAATTGTTCCTCTAATTTCAGGAAAGTTTTATATTATCGCGATCGCGACAGGTAGAGATCCATCCATGTTAGATATAGACCTGGGTCAATAAAAACCTGAATATGTAATAATAATTGGTAAAACATTTATGCATTTAAAGCTACACTGTGTAACTCTTTTACTTTATTCTTAGTTAAAAACACTTAGTTATTTCAAAAATATATGTGCTCAATAATGTATATTTACTTTTTATCAAGTAATAAAGTATTCTCGTGAGTGTATAATATGCCATTGAAAATACATACGGGTAAGGGTTTCTAATGTCGGTCGCCATGTTGCCCCTCCATCTTGAAAGTACATTAGACAAAGAGGGACATACTTGTTAATTCAAGCTTCGCCTTTCGCGTTTACGTTTGAGTTAACACTCATGGACGAGGTCGAACTGGAAGCCATGTTAATCTTGGACTACATTGGCCACCGTAGGAGTTAAAACGAAATCGGAATTGACAGGAACAGAAACTAATATTCGCTGGATGGTCGTATACCTTTTCACCGCTAGATGGGGGTAAAAATCACACAGTGTAGCTTTAAGGGTTAACGTTTTATTCATCAAAGAATCAAGAAATCCGTTTCCACAAAAATGTGCATCAGCACAACTCTTTTCAACATTGATAATAATCAGAAATGTTTCTTGAGCAGCAAATCAGCATATCAGAATGATTACTGAAGGATCATGTGACTGAAAAATGGAGTAGTAATGCTGAAAGCTCAGCTTTACCATCACAGGAATACATGATATATCATATATATATATGGTTTTTGAATAAATCATATATATATATATGGTTTTTAGCATATTTTTATAATATGCATTTTTATTATTTGTTTTTCTCAGCTGTCTGCAACCACAGCAGAATTGGGTCGCAACCCAAAATTGGGAAGCAACAATTTTTGATTACGTGAAAACGTTTAATATTCCTCACCATATTCACAATAACAATAAAGACATCTTAATGGCCTTGCCAATAAAAATGCCGCAGCACAACTAGCACTTACTTCGGTCCTGTGACGGTCGGTATACAAGTAGAGCCGCGATGACACGGATTCTGGCCAGGATAACACAGATCTTCCTCATACTCTTCACACTTTGGCCCTGTAATGCACATTCACACTTCTTTCTTTACCAATCCAATCACTTTCTATCTACAAGGAGAATCTGTCCATATGAATCATTGGGTCAGTATAAATTAATATCATCATGTACCTGAGAAGGGGTGCGGACAGGCGCAGGTGTAGTTGCCCACTCCGTCCACACAGATGGTGCCATTTTCACACTTGTTATCCACACAATCGTCAACATCCACCTCACAGAACTGACCGTCGTATCCCAGAGGACACATGCAACTAGACAGACGTGCAAAAGTCAACTTCATGTTTCTTGTTTTGATCGTCTTGGGTAATAACAAGGTGTGTGTTCTCACCTGAAGCCTTTTCTAGCCTCTTCGCTGTAACAGGTGCCTCCATTTACACATGGATTGCCTTCACAGGCGCTGACAGAAACCTCACAGTTTTTACCCTATAAATACCAACATGCAGCAGACAGACTTTCAAGGAATGTTCTTTTTAACGCTCTTTAACATCCAATGCAATAAAACACATATAGAATCTGTAAGTTGTAAGCATGTTGCAAGTTACTGCAGAAAATAAATCCTACTTTAAAAAGAAAATGTTTTTGCAATAATATGCTTTCAATGGAAGTCTATCGGGCACGGCATTCATACGGGGCTTTTTGTGGTGCTTATATTCTATAGAAACGTGTGCAGTTTCAGATGTTTCATTGATTTGAGAAGTTTAACCGTCCTTTAAGCAGTCGGATTGCACTTCTTGGCGGATGAACTTCTGGATGTGTGTTTCAGTAATCCTGTGAGTGGGTTAACTGGCTTTATGCGGTCAAAATTGGAGTCCGTAGTTATTGTTAACTAAAATAGTTTAAAAAAATGTAATTCATTGAAATAAGGCTGAAATAAAATATAAATACTAGTTTACTACTAAATTTTTGATAAAAAATTCTCCCCATAAATGTAGCCCTCAAACCGTATTCACTTTATAGCCCTGAATCCTGTAATTGTGTACAAATGTGGACTCAGGTGTGATCCCAATTTTTATTTATTATAAATGTTATATCACTGTGTCTTGGAAAAAGTTTTGTCTATCCATTTATGGTGTTTTTGTTTATTTTTTGTAATGTTTATTAAAAATTGTGTGTGTTCAGGAGGCAAGCTTAGGAAAAGTAGCCAAGTCTTGTACCGCTCAGATCAAGGGAAGTATTTTTTAAATATAAATCAAAACTATTTTGCCCACATTTGTCCAGAATACGGGTTAAATAAAAGTGAAATATAATTAAATATTTGATTGGGGAGGTTAGAAAATTGAGATTGGCCAACACTGTTCACATGACACATGTGTGTGACACTGACCAATAGTGAGGCGGCGTTTTGCCAGGACCAGGAAGTGCTGCAATGTTTACACCATAGATACATACTGTACACTAGATGTCGCCTTAGCTACAGCAGTTCATTAGAATGAAGCCGCCATCTTGGAACAGGAGAGCCGCTCCACTTTAATGCATCAGTGTCAATGTACACAAAGGTCTAACGGAAATAAAATCACCATAAATCATCATGAATGCGATTTTCTCGTTTTTTTGGTTCGTTCCAACGGTCAGGCATGTATTTATCATTGATTCCAGAAAAAAAAAAAACAGCCCGATCTTACAGGAATTCGTACGAATTTTACGAGGTGGCTAATTCGACCTCACTCGTACAAATTAGTACGATTTTGCTAAATCGTACATATTTTACGAATTGGCCAATTCGTATGAATTCGTATGAATGACCTACCCCTTACCCCGCCCCTAAACCTAACCATCACGTGGGTTTAGACAAATCGTACGAATTCGCACGAGTGAGGCCGTACGAATTAGCCACTTTTTAATTATTCGTCGAATTCGTACAAATTGGTCGTGAGATAGGGTAGAAATTTTTTTTTTTTTTTTAAACGTTCTTTCTAGTTCAGATTTCATCATACGCAGCACAAAAGTCCACCACCATCAATTAATTCGAAGTAAAGGCAGAGATGGCAGCGCAACCTAGCTACTTCCTATGACAAGACCCCAGTTCCACTGCCTCCGAAACTTTCGCCCGTCATAATAAAATTCGGATTGGGTTTGATTTTCTGCATTTTTTTGCATTTGTAGCAAGCATTTTGTTGACAATTTGTTTTGACAATTCAGAGAAACCAAATGCAGAAAACGAAAAAACGCATGCGAATATTTCGTGACCTTTTATTTGGGGACAGCTTAAATGACTGTGTTAATTGATAGCATATCAGGTATATTGTCGATGCATTGAAGCAGGAATACGTAGCAGCACTTCTCAGTAATGTATGATCAGGACCTTGTAACCCTGCGGACAGCTGCACTTGTACTGGTGCACCGGGTCCTCGTGGCACCGGCCTTGATTCTGGCAGGGGTTTGAAGAACACGGGCTGCATTTCCCAGACACAGACGGATCCACGGGACCTGAGGAAGATCAGACCTCTCAAGCGTTATCCTGAAGGAAAATGTTCTTTCTTTCTCTGATGTTTTTCACCCACCTGTGCATTGGAAGGTATTGCCTGGTGTTGTGAGCAGTAGTTTTCCCTCCATACCCCGCGGCCCGGCACAGCGGGCGATGCCGGGTTCCTTGTACCCGCTTTTTACCCAATCAGAAAGCCACCGCAGCCGACAGTCACAGTACAGTGGGTTTGCGCCAATGGCCCTTGAGAAATTTAATTCTTTTAGTATAGTATTTGTTTGACAGTAAATTCATGCATTCGTATCTAATCCAAATTACAAATTTCGACATATTGGCAGTTGTAAAGTATGGAAGCTTGTTTCCGTCACAGAATGAAAAATAAAAAAGGTAATTGCGACTTTTTATCTCACAATTCTGACTTTTTTTCTCACAATTGCGAGTTTACATTTCGCAATTATGTCTTTTTTCTCAAAATTGCGACTTTATATCACGCAATTCTGACTTTATATCTTGCAATTCTGACTTTATTTCTCACAATTCTGACTTCATATCTCGCAATTGTGAGATAAAAAGTCGCAATTATTTATTTATTTATTTTTTATTCAGTGGCGGAAACAAGTTCCATAGTAAAGTGTCCATTTATTTATACTTTTCTGTGTAATTCATTTAAAAATCATTTAAAACTTCTCTTGTATATTTTTTTTTAATTGTCCATTTTAAATTATGTCTATTGATATACACCTAAAATAAAAATATTAGATAACAAAAAAAAAATTGGCAACTACCTAAAGAGAATTACTAAAAATTACTAAAAATGTAAAACAAAAATTAGTTTGAGCAATAAAGAAATAAATAAAAAAGCGAATAAAACTGACAAATGATATTAAACTTAATTTTAATGTGTCGATTTTTTTTTACTTTATTACATTTATGTAAAGCACTTAGAATTTCCAAATAAAAAAAATAATTGTGTATAATTTATATATATATATATATATATATATATATATATATTAATGTTTCCCAATGTTTTTATATATATATTTTTTTTTTTCGGTAATTGAAATAAAGCTAAAATAAATCAAATAAAAACGTAAGCGAAAAAGGCAAAAAGGCATTGGCAACAAATTGAAATAAATTACTAAAAACTACAAGATAAAAATTAATTAAATGACAAGAAATATTTAGCCATTTACTTCATTCCTAAATGAATGAACGAATCGAATGACTTACTCAAATATTCACTGCAACTACTGGCATTTTTTGTTTCTTTTTAGTATCATTTCCTTTCAAAATAATTTCAGCTGCAATCAACATACCAATTCAGATGCAGCTTCTGAAAAAAAGTGTAATTAACCTGAGATTAAACTAATTAATCGGCACATCATGTAATTAATTAGATACAAAATTTGAATCCCTTGACGGCCCTAATATGCTTGATGAAAATTTTAACTTACAAAATTAACAAAAATTAAAAATAAAAAGTAGTGCCTTTCATTTAACTGAAATACACATCTAAAGATTATTAAAACTAAAACTGAAAGTTATATAAAAAATAAAATAAATGACAAAAGCGCATAATAAATGATTAAACTTTTCCGTCCGAGAAGCGCTTGTGTTTGTGTTTGCATGTGTGAGTGAGTCTGGGCAGAGACCAAACAGGTGTGACTCACAGGTGTGATAGAGATGCAGCATCTCTGAAGATTTCGTGGTGTAATTCAGATATATTGTTGCCATGGAGAGATCTGCAAAAAAAGGAAAACAGTGAGCAGAAAACATGTGGGCTGAGGTGAGGTCAAACGATTATATGTCTGTACAAGCCAACTGCTTTCACAATCATAAAAACAAGAATTTCTGTAAGATAATAGAAGTGTTTCCAGAGGAACTCACAGCAGTCGAAGAGAGGACAGTCCTTTAAACACAAGAGGAGGGATACAGCGCAGGGCGTTATAACTCAAGATGCTGGAAATCAACACAACACAAGCCAGATGATTATAGAAACACATTCACAGTCAGCAGCAGTCAAGTGTGTGTGTGTGTGTGTGTGTTTCAGGCTCACAGTGTGGTCAGCTGACTCATGTTGGAGAAAGACGAGTTGGACAAGGAACTGATTTTATTGTTGCTCAGGTCACTGAAATAAAGCACAGAGATATTTTACATTTACAATAATAATAATATCCAGTTTTATTTCTTGTTCTTATTAATCAAAGAATGAATGTAAATGAGTGCATATAATACAACAATAATAATATTGTTATTATCAATGTTGATGTATGTATGTATACATTATTTAATAATATAATGTTGAAATATTATAATATTATAACAACAATAATACAAATAGTGAATATATATATATATATATATATATATGCACCATCATTTAATTTAAATTACACAACTTTATCATTTTCTTAAGTACTAACTGCACAATAGCAATGAATCTGATCTGATGTTGATGTTGAATATGCACATAAGCACAGTGTGCCCCCGGTGGCTGGGCATGGCATTGCAGGAGTGACCCGAGAGAGGTCGACACTCACACCAGCTGCAGGTGTCTGAACGCTGAGAGCTCTTTGGGAACCGCGGCAAACAGATTCCCATCCAGGTAACTATGGAGACAGAGAGAGTTCATGAGACGTCCAAACACAGCCAGACAGGAATCCCGACAGCGTTTGCATAAGCCCTTGCGCCCACCCGAACATGACTCACAGTTCAGTGACATTGTGTGGGACGCCGCGGGGTAAACCGAGCAAGTGTTTGTTGCTGCAGCGCACGACTGACTCCAGACAAGTGCACTCCTCCGGGCACTTGGGCTTCGGGACGCAGCTCCTGTCCTCTTCAGTCACCGCTGGAAGAGTGTGTGGAAGAGATATATCCGGAAATACAGTCAGAAAAACAACAGCATGGTGTATTAAATGTATTACTTTCAAATGAAAAAAAGCATTCGAACTGCGAATTGAAGAAGAGACAATGATAAACTCCAATATAAAAGACACTACAAGCCCTATCAAACACTAGGCACAATTCAGCGCCAGGCGACTCAGCCCGACGCATTTATCATTTCACGTCCTGCATCACGCTGTTTAACCCTCTGGGGACGGATTGTTACATACTTTTACAAATGTGTACTTATCTTAAAAACTATTCGGTGCGGTCTTTTTTGCCGTCTTGCTCAGATTCCGCTGAAAACAGTGATAACTTATCCGGCTTGTATACACACTTCCTTGTTGCGCAATACCACTACGTGAAAGGCCAATGAAATCGATGTTGTTTGGCAGATTCACGAGCAACAACCAATGGAAAAATTGACGATGGAGAAATATTTTTCTTACCCAATTAGGGGAAGGTTACCATGACCTATTTTAGCAAATCGGAGGACTCTGTAGCCTTGCAAGGGGTGGTATTATATAGTAAGGGATATGACGCAAACAGCGTCGAGTGGTGGAGGAGACGACAGAAAGCGAATTTATATATTAGGGCTGTGCAAAAATTAATTCCGATTAATCGCATCCAAAATAAAAGTCTGTGTTTACATAATATATTTGTGTGTGCTGTATATAATTATTTTGTTTATATAAATACATACACATGCATGTATATATTTAAGAAAATGTGTTATTCATTTATACAATATTTATATTTATATAATATAGATTATGTATTTATATATATATATACAGAATTTAAGCACAAATAATTCTTAAATATATACATGCATGGATAGGTATTTATATATAAGAAATAATTATATACAGCACACACAAATATATTATGTAAACACAGACTTTTATTTTGGATGCGATTAATCGCAATTAACTTTTGCACAGCCCTAATATATATATATATATATATATATATATATATATATATATGTATATACACAATTATAGCATTATTTAGTATTTTAGCACTTTTATGATGGCAAGCAATAAGCGATTTTGTAAGCAATAAGTGAACGGTGGAACAATTACTGGAGAGTGACGAGGAGAAAGCATTGCTTGGAAAATTCTTCCTAAGAAAAATGCCTGGGAATATTTGAAGAGTTCAGATGCAAAAGCCTCTAAATGCCATTTGAAATTTTCTTCTTTAATGATGATTTTTATCAAACTTGTATATTTAAGTTCAGTAATTTCACTTAAATAACCATTAATAGGTCATCTTCATTGCCATTTAAGTGAAATCACTGAACTTAAATATACAAGTTTGATAAAAATCATCATTAAAGAAGAAAATTTCAAATGGCATTTAGAGGCTTTTGCATCTGAACTCTTCAATTGTAAATAAAGTTAGATTTTTCATTGTTCTTTACACATTTTATTTAACAATTACACATGTCTGTCAAGCAAAGGCTTTGACAAATATATTTTTTGTTCAAAAACCGTTCACTATTGTTGTGTGATGTGTGATTTTCAGAAATAAATGACACAAATTGAATTTCCGTTTTTGAAATTCTCTAGTATATTGTATATTTTTCACTCATACTTCCTTTATAAACACATTACATGTATGCTTATGTTAGCTCAGGGTCTTCTGAATCCATAGACACCAAACACATAGCGTTCGATCTCCATTACAAATAGTTTATAAGCCCAAATGTAAATAGAGAAAACGTGTGGGATAATGTGGGACACACAGTGACAAATTTTGAAGATAAAAGCCCCCGACTTATTTACACTCCTCGGGCCGGGCTTCGGGCCAATTTTAACGTCATAGTTCACACGCGGGCCGGGCCTCGGGCCTGTTTTAGGCTTATCTTTTTTATAGCCTATTTTAGATATTATTTAAAATAAAATATGAGAAGATGACTATTGAAAAGCAAACATAGAAAGACGTTTTATAACCTATCATACTGACATATATGACTGACAGTCTGCTCACGGCACGCGCACACAGGTTTCCCGGCAACACGATCCGCGCGACCGGCTCGTTCTCTGTTTAGTGTCCCGCCAGCAGCAGGAGTAGTGAGCGTGACTTCAGCGCAGCTGGAAAAAGTACGACTGGATTAAAACTTTCCACGGTGGATGGTGCTTTTTCTGCACGATGCTCTGTAAGAGACTGTTTAGGAGGTTGTCTTGATGTTTTTTGTTTGATTGGACTTTAGTTTCATGAGTCTGTTGGAAACTTTTGGAAATACGAATGGCCTTTTTCTGTAGTGAAGACTTGATTTTTGAGGTAAGATAACCTGCATGTTTGTATTTAATGTAATTTATTTGATTTGTTTAGATTGCATTCTCTGTATTGTATTGTAAATTGTATTGTACGATCGCTGTTGCGAGCAGCAGAGCAGTTTGCCTCAGCTTTTCAAAAATGACAATAAACGTTTAACAAGCGTTTAAACTAACGTTAACTGTCTGTGTGAATATGTTTAAGTTGTTTTATATCTATGGATTTTATTGTAGCCAAGTAAAGTGTTGATTTGAGAGGCTATAAATGGATCAAATATGTTTAACTCGCTGTCGGGTGCTTGGTCGTCATAAAAAAATAAATAAAAAGAAACATTTGTCTTAATTAACTTTATAAAGAAATTAAAATAATGTAAACGGTAACTACTTTGCCATTGAGGACAAAACATATCTGTTTAAATGACTGCTGCAACAGGGCAGGCTGTGTAAGATGTTTTTTTTTTTTTTTTTTTTTTTTTTTTTAAATAACGGGCTCGGGTCGGACTCGGGCTGATCATTCTGATGAGCTGTCGGACACGGGCCGGGCTATGGCCTAGATTTGAGGCCCGTGCAGGGCTCTATTCTGTACATAAAGATATAATGGATTCCGGCTTGTCCCGTAGATGGTCTGTTTGAGCTTTAACCGTGATAGGTTTGCACTCTGGAGACGTATTCAGTCTTTCCACTATCAAATTCCTCCTTGTAAATTGCGAATTCGCCATAACGCGAGCGCAACTAGCTTTTAAAGGGAATAGGAGATGAGACTCTGATTGGTTTATTGCATGTCACGCCCAAAACACACCCGTTACTCATTAAGAGAATAGGGACAACCCTTTTAGACAACCATGCGCCGGGAGCGACCATGAATACCATTTGTCCCGTCTTTAAACTAGCAAAAGTGCATTCGGAAACGTGCTAAGTGCACTTGCACCATGTGCTTTAGACCATGCTCTTAAAATAGGGCCCAAAGAGACCATTTACCCTTGTCACAAATGAAGTCAGGCTTTGCCACATCCTGCAGTGGGATCTCTCTGAGAAAGGCTGGGTTCTGACAGCGGGGGTTTCCCGTCACAATCTGACGAGATCGTAGCCATTCTCCAAGCCAGGACAGACGACAGTCGCAATTAAAAGGGTTTGCAAGCAGGTTTCTGAAAAGAGATCATGGAGATTAGCATAAAGCACATATTTATATCAGAAACATTCATGAACAGCAGCGTCTTTTACAGGGTGGAGAGGTTTGGCAGCGTGTCAAAGGCTCCAGGCATGATCGTGGCGAGCTGGTTGTCGTAGAGCGAGAGCAGACGCACGTTCTGCAGGCCTGAGAAGCTGCTGTTGTGGATGCAACGGATGCGATTATTCCTTAGCATCCTAACAGAGAGAGAAAGAAAAGAAGGATTCAGAGAGTAGCCTTGGGTGACTGTGAGGAACAATGAAAATAAATCCAGAACTAAGCGCTTGCTTAGATTGTTCTTTGAGAAATTATACATTTGTACAAATTGTGCAGAGGTTTTGTGTGTGTGTGTGTGTGTAAATAATATTTATACAGCTTATACAAACATATCAACATTCTATAACAGCTGAGGTATTAAATTAATTTTTAGTTATAAACAATAAAGATGATTCATTTGGTTTTCTGTGATATCTACATTGTTGTTGTTGATTCTGTGCAGCAAAAGTGCATGCCAATCAAATCAATCAATCACTGAGTCAGTCAGTCAGTCAATCAATCAATCAATCAATCAATCAACCAGCCAACCAATCAATCAGTCAATCAGTGAGTCAAACAATCAATCAATCAATCAGCCAACTAGCCAATCAATCAATCAGTGAGTCAATCAATCAATCAACCAATCAATTAATCAGTCAATCAGAGAGTCAACCAATCAGTCAATCAATCAATCAATCAGTAAATCAATCAATCAATCAATCAACTAGCCAACCAACCAACTAATCAATCAGTCAATCAGTCAATCAGTGAGTCAAACAATCAATCAGTCAATCAGTCAGTCAATGAATCAGTCAATCAATCAATCAACAAGCCAACCAATCAATCTATCAATCAGTTAATCAGTGAGTCAAACAATCAATCAGTCAATCAATCAACTAGCCAATCAATCAATCAGTCAGTCAATCAGTCAGTAAATCAATCAGTCAGTCAATCAGTCAATCAATCAATCAATCAATCAACCAGCCAATCAATCAATCAATCAACCAGCCAATCAATCAGTCAGTCAGTCAGTCAGTCAATCAATCAATCAATCAACTAGCCAACCAATCAATCAGTCAGTCAGTTAATCAATAAAATCAGCCAACCAATCAATCAGTCAATCAACCAATCAGTCAGTCAATCAATCAATCAACCAGCCAACCAATCAATCAGTCAGTCAGTCAGTCAGTCAACCAATCAATCAATCAATCACTCAGTCAGTCAGTTAATCATTCAGTCAATCCATCAATCAGTCAATCATTCAGTCAATCCATCAATCAGTCAGTCAATCAGTCAGTCAGTCAGTCAGTCAATCAATCAATCAACCCGTCAACAAATAAATCAGTCGACCAACCAATCAATCATTCAATCAATTCAATAAATTTAGGGTTAGGGATGTTCTCAGACTGCTTGAAATGCTGTGGCAGAATTAGAAATGATAGTGAAAAGGACACTTGCAGCATGCGCAATCCGTCCATTCCCCGCAGCATCCCTCCTCGTATGGACACCAGGTGGTTGGCGGTCAGGTGAAGTTCAACCACGGAAGACGCACCGTCAAAAGCTCCATCCTCAATCTCAGTGATTTTATTGTTGCTAAGGTTTCTGTGAGAGAAATGCACAGAAAACTAGTTCACTGTCCAGTTCAGTTAAGGAATACAGTGTATTTTGGCATTGCTTAATCACATTACGTAGTACATAAATGTCAATCTCACATTTTCTTGAGATGTGTGAGGGGCCGAAAGAGTCCTGTTGCCTCCAGGATAGAGAGGTCATTGTTATTGAGACGTCTGGCAGAAAGAAAATGAAATAAACGTAGAGTTGGCATGTTGCTAAGCTAACAATGCACAATGCTAACAATGTGATTCTATAATACTACAGGCAGCACACTATTTCTTTATCAATCATTTTTGATACTGAAACAAGAATTATCATTTCTGTTGCTTCATCTGCAATCTTGGATGGATTTTTTTTCACTGAGCTTGTCGCAATGCATTCTGGGACAAACATTTTCACACTGGAGAAATGAAGGTATCACAGCACAATTATACAGTCTACCTTAAACAGTCTTCGTATCAGGAGCAAGTCAAAAACATGTTGTAATTGTTCTGTTTATTTGTTCAGAGTTTCTCTTACAGTTCAGTTGTAGAGAGTGGAAGGTGTTCTGGGAACTTGGTTAGGCGTAAATTTGAGCAGTCCACCACAGTAGCTTCACAGCGGCATTTGGGTGGACAGACAGGCTTGCTGTTGCAGTCCTTATTCAAACGTGTGTCCTCTGCGCCTGAGACAAATATAAAGATGCTTTCAGAGAAACCCCATTCATCACAGGAAAGTATAAATGGGCCATTTTTGTCTAAAGGAGATACAGAAACAATTTACCTGGGATGTGGTACTGTTCCTTGGCTGCTATGGCAACACATGCAAGAAAACAGAAGATACAGCTGCTATTTGTTTTTATGATAATCGAATGTAAAGAGTTTTATCTCTAAAAACTGTTCAGCTTATAACGCTAGTATATGGGGCATAGAGTAATGAAAATAATAATCGCTAGTTTATACCACAAACAAGGCTCAAAATAGCCCCACACTAATACAGTAACATAATGAGGGTCCATACATCTAAAACGAAGCATTGAGAACTTTGTAAGTGTACAGATCGTTTAATAAGAAGATACTGTGGTGACCCACAAATAGCACTGAGAGACATTCACTAATTCACCTAGGGAATATACCTTTAAGAGAGGGGGAAGTAGTTAGCAGTTCCGGGGTAATGTTGTTGTGTGGATTTCACGGTGTTGAGTTCTGATTATTAAAGTGGAGAGTAAAGCTGACTCGACGCATTCCCGTCTCTCGTCTACTCCTTTTTGCACTCCACATTGGTGACCCCGACGCGAGTTTGATACGGCTGAATTATGTCACACAACGACGGTGGCGAAAACGCTGCTGCTGTGGCGCCAGATGCTGTTAGCGGCGCGGCTAATGTCGGCGCTATATACGCGGCCACCATCAAGTTACCGGACTTTTGGCAGCACAATCCACGGCCGTGGTTTCAACACATCGAGGCACAGTTCCAGCTGAGAGGAATCACACAGGACGTGACAAAATATTTCCATGTGGTAGCGGCCTTAGATGCATCGACAACAGCCAGGGCTATGGCGCTATTAGAGGCTCCGCCAGCTGACGGCAAATACGACGCGCTCAAAACGTTTCTGTTGAACCTCTTTGAACTGTCGGAGTTGGAAAAAGCAGATCGCCTGCTGTCCCTGAACGGCCTTGGTGACAGTAAGCCGTCTGAGTTAATGGAGAGGATGCTAGCGGTGCTGGGCGCGGCGGATCCCGCGTTCCTTTTCGCCCACATATTCCTGCGGCAACTTCCAGCACCTGTGCGCACTGCACTGGCCAGCTCCGCCCTCCCTTCCTCCAGAGACTACCGAGCGCTTGCTGTGGAGGCAGACAGGATTTTTCTCGCCAACCGGCAACAGTTTGTCCATGCACTGCTTCCCCCCCCGCACACGGCTGTTCCGTTTACACCCGCAGTGGACGACCCAGACACCGCGGCTGCGGTGACGGCCCGCCGACAGCGTGAAGACGGGTGGTGCTATTACCATTCAAGGTTTGGGGCCAAGGCCAAACAGTGTCGCCAGCCTTGCAGTTTTGGAGCCCAGGGAAAAGCCAGGGCCGGCGCTCATTAGCAGCTATGGGCGCTGGCCGGGACTGCAAGCTGTTATTCATCACTGACACATTGTCTGGCCGGCGGCTGCTGGTCGATTCGGGGGCTCAGCGTAGCATCTTGCCAGCGAAGCTGGTGGACACAATGGCTGGTGGGCATGGCCCCCCGATGGATGCCGCCAACGGCACACCCATTCGTACATATGGCACAAGGTATGTGGAAGTGTGTTTCGGCGGGCGGCGTTTCGGCTGGGATTTCGTCATGGCTGCCGTGTCTACGTCGCTCCTGGGGGCGGATTTCCTATGTGCTTACAGGCTGTTGGTGGACGTTACAAACCACCGCCTGATCGACGCCCTCTCTTTTGCTTCGTACCCCTGTACGCTGGGGGGGACGGGGGCGCTTTGTCTGTCAAACACATTAGCCACAGGGGACCTGTATCAACGTCTTCTCGCTGAGTTCCCTGACATCACCACTCCCACGTTTTCATCGGCGGTGGCTAAACACGGCGTGGAGCACTACATCACCACGGTGGGCCCACCAGTCTATGCACGAGCCCGGCGCCTCGACTCTGCCAAGCTCGCGATCGCCAGGGAGGAGTTTGCCACTATGGAGCACCTCGGCATTGTGCGCCGCTCCAACAGCCCGTGGGCTTCCCCCCTGCACATGGTGACAAAGTCCGATGGCATTTGGCGTCCCTGTGGTGATTTCCGTCGCCTGAACAATGCTACAACCCCCGACCGGTACCCTGTGCCGCACATACAGGACTTCTCCGCCCACCTAGCCGGCACCACCATATTCTCAAAGGTAGACCTGGTGCGCGGTTACCATCAGGTGCCGGTCCACCCGCAGGATGTCCCCAAGACAGCGGTGATCACACCCTTTGGCCTTTTTGAATTTTTACGGATGCCTTTCGGCCTTAAAGGGGCAGCGCAAACGTTTCAGCGCCTTATGGACTCTGCGCTGAGAGACATGCCATTTCTGTTTGTCTATTTGGACGACATTCTCGTGGCCAGCGCGTCCGCAGACGACCACCTGACGCATCTCCGGCAGTTGTTCGGCAGGCTCAGTGAGCATGGTCTCATCATCAACCCGGCCAAGTGTGAGTTTGGCCGGTCATCCATCACCTTCCTCGGCCATCACGTCACACCGCAAGGGGCCGTCCCCCTCCCGGCCAAGGTGGATGCCGTCGCCAATTTCCCACGCCCACGCACGGTAAAGTCCCTGCAGGAGTTTCTGGGTATGGTGAACTTCTACAACCGTTTCCTCCCCCATGCGGCTCAGCTCATGCGACCATTGTACGATGCCTTGCGTGGTGGGCGGGCGGCGGACGTGTTGGATTGGTCCCCAGAGATGGTTTGTGCTTTTGATGCTGCCAAAACTGCGCTGGCCAATGCTGCGCTGCTAGCGCACCCATCTCCTACCGCCCTAGTGGCTCTGACTACGGACGCCTCAGACTACGCCGTTGGGGCTGTGTGTGAGCAGTGGGTGGGCGGCGCCTGGCAGCCGCTGGCCTTTTTCAGCAGGAAGCTCCGGGACAACGAGAGGAAATACAGCGCCTTCGACAGGGAGCTCCTGGGTCTTTTCCTCGCCACCCGTCATTTTCGTTTCCTGTTGGAGGGCCGGCGGTTCACGGCTTTCGTTGACCACAAGCCGCTGACGTTTGCTATGGCCAAGTCTTCAGCGCCATGGTCTGGTCGCCAGCAGCGTCAGCTCTCTGCCATATCTGAATATACCACCGACATTCGGCATGTGGCCGGCAAGGAAAACTTTGTGGCTGACTGTCTCTCCCGGGCGATCATTTGTTCCGTCCACTTGGGCCTTGACTACGCAGCTATGGCTGAGGATCAAACCGCGGACTCTGAGGTGCAAGCCTACAGGACGGCTCCCACGGCGCTGCGCATGGAGGATGTGGTGTTTGACACGGCCAACTCTACACTCCTCTGCGACGTCTCCACTGGACAACCGCGCCCCATGGTACCTGCTGGCTGGAGACGTAAGGTGTTTGACACTATACACGGTCTTTCCCACCCGGGGGTGAAGGCCTCGACCAAGCTGGTGGGGGCCAAGTTCGTCTGGCCAGGCCTGCGGAGGGACGTCAAGGCTTGGGCTGCTTCCTGTGTGGCGTGCCAGCGCGCAAAAGTGACTCGTCATACCAAAGCCCCTTTGGCACCCTTCAAAGTGCCAGAGAGACGTTTTGATCATGTGAATGTGGACCTGGTGGGCCCACTTCCCCCTCCCGTGGTTACTCCTACCTCCTCACCATGGTGGACAGGACCACCAGATGGCCGGAAGTGGTGCCCCTGGCCTCCACTACATCAGCTGAGGTGGCACGGGCGTTCATTATGGCTTGGGTGGCCCGTTTCGGCACGCCGTCTGACCTCTCTTCAGACCGAGGTCCACAGTTCACATCGGAGCTTTTGACTGCGGTCGCCGAGGTCCTGGGAGTGAAGGTCCACCGTACCACAGCCTATAACCCGCAGAGCAACGGACTTTGCGAGCGGTTTCACCGGGACATGAAGGCCGCGCTCAGGGCCAGCCTCACGGGTAGCGACTGGGCTGACCGCCTCCCATGGGTTATGCTTGGCCTTCGTTCTTCCCCCAAAGAGGATCTTCGAGCCTCATCGGCAGAGCTGGTGTACGGCCAGCCTCTGCGCGTCCCGGGGGAGTTTCTTCCAGATGCCACGGCCCCGTGGTCGGTTGACTCCCATCGTACCGTTTCTCGGGACATTGCCAACGCTTTTGTTCCTATCCCAACGTCGCACCATGGCCTCCCCCAGACCTACGTGCCAAAGGATTTACCGTCAGCCAAGTATGTGTTCATCCGCCACGACGGACATCGTACTCCACTGCGTCCCCCCTATGATGGGCCCTTCCGTGTCCTGACAGGAGGGTCTAAGAACTTTGTGGTAGATATGGGAGGTAGGCCTGAGCGGGTGGCTATAGACCGGCTCAAGCCTGCTCATGTGGATATTGGCGAACCCCTGCAGTTGGCCCTGCCCCCACGGCGGGGGCGCCCCCCTGCAGAGGCCTCGAACCAGGTGCCTGCTCCACCCCTAGCCCCTAGCCCCTCTTTGGTGAAGCGCAGCCGGTATGGCCGCCCGGTCCGCCCCCCTATACGTTGACTTTTCTAAGGACTGTTAGGACCTGGACTGTTCTGTTTGGCACTGGTGAATAGCGCCCTATGTTCTGTGGCGGGTGCCTGTTAGTTTTGGACTTGTTCATGGGTGAATTCTGGGGGGGCCTGTGTGGTGACCCACAAATAGCACTGGGAGACATTCACTAATTCACCTAGGGAATATACCTTTAAGAGTAGGGGAGGGAGTTAGCAGTTCCGGGGTAATGTTGTTGTGTGGATTTCACGGTGTAGAGTTCTGATTATTAAAGTGGAGAGTAAAGCTGACTCGACGCATTCCCGTCTCTCGTCTACTCCTTTTTGCACTCCACAATGTGATATAGTGTGGTTGACAAAAAAAACAATAAATAGACAAGGACGGAGGACAGAGATCGCTTGCTGAAGGCAACAGAAGCTGTCGCGGTCTGATTTCAAGGGTGCTTTATAGTTTCCTGGTCACTGACGTCACAAGACATTCTGCTCTCTCATTGGACTGATTGTACAGAGGCTTCACGACGCAATCACGCAGAGCGTTCCCAACGCGTTCATAGCAGCTCGAAGTTCCCTTGAAAGGGGACTCAAACAGAGCTCAGGGGAGCTATGTACTCAGGAAAAATGTCAGACTGCCCCGTGGGCTGGACATAAGATCTATCTGAAGCTCCAGTGTCAGGGGCCGTTTACACCTGGCCACTTCATGCATTTTCTGTGATCGGATAGCTATCCGATCGTGAAAAGAACAGGTGTAAATGCCCCCCGAAACGCATTCGAGACGGATTTGAATCTGATTGCTCAAACCACTTCAGGAGGTGGTCTGGGCCGTATTCCAGACGAAACTGGACAAGTGTAAATGCATCTGGTTCTAGAAACCACATATGTATGTTACTACTCCCAAAAATGCTAAAAAATAAACGCGTGAGAGCTTGTTACAGGCTATATGTCATGCTATTTTAGTCAAATATGACAACGCTACTGTGACACGCATCACCTCAGGTGAGCAGCTGAACGCCTATCAAGCCAACGCGCCGCATTCTATCACAAATCAAAGTGAAACTAAGTCGC